TATATATATATATGTTCTTAGCTTTTCCTTTGTTGTGGACATTATTTCGTTGTCATTTCACCTCCTTGCCGAGTATTGGTTCTTCAATACATCGGTTGGTTTAACTTTGTGCTTTCTATTTGTTGGTACCTGATCTTTTCACTTATACACATAGGTGGAAACGGGTCGTAACTTCTAACTCAGAGGTGAACGGGATCAAAACATGTCAGCTCATGCCTTCGGCTGTGTGGAAAGCTTCTGGTCATCTAGATGGATTCACAGACAGTATAGTAGACTGTTCTCTTTCCGGGACACAGTTTCGAGTTGGTATGTTTATACGCTATATCACCTATGACGTTTCGTGTTGTTTTAAATATTACTCATTGGCTTGTGTCCGATTCCTACTTATAGTTGCTTCTATGCAATTATTGATACGGGAGTCCTCGCATTTACTCGGACTTTATTTCTACGACACCTATTGCATTGCTCTGCAGATAAGGCGGGACCTGTCGTTGCCGCGACGACAGGCAGTGGGGAGACCACAATAACTATCCTGGCGCCGCACAAAAAGACAGCAAAACTGTGGGAGGAACAAATACAGACAGATTTTGCAGCTGATGCCAGAGTTGTCCGCGAAGGCTGCCTGCTGCATTTGAGTGTCGCTGAGTTGGTAGATCCCTCGACTGCTACCGATGGAAGCAAAGTTCCCGGCCGGATTGAACTGCGCACACAAAACTCGGACCTAGAAACGATTAAAATAGAATACAACGGCTATGTATGCCCTATAACTAATTCTCCTTTCTTAGGTACACCCAGAGATATAAACTTGATGTATCAAGTAGTTGCTATCGACGATAGCGCGCCCATTGGTGATAGCGACGAACAGTACACTGTGTCAGATGAGTTCGACAGCATGATCCGCACTATCCGGGAAGGCAATCCATTGCAGAAGGCTGAGATGAGGAATAGTTTGAAACGGGAGTTGCTGCCCCGCTCTATGTATCTCAGACCCGAAACAGCCCAAGGCACTTATGTACAAACTCCCAATGCCAAGCGCAGTCTAGAAGAGTCCGGACCAAGGCCAACAACCTTTGGGCTCGCACAGATTGGCGAGTCATATCGGAATGAAATAGCGGTATGCTTAATGAAAAATTATTCGCTCTTAAAAACCGATTTAGTATTGAATCTAATGGCTATATACACCTCACTGTCAGAGCCATCGTTCTATTTTCACAATCAACTGGCAAGTTATGGCAGAATTATGGTTGTCTCCGTGGGTTACGAATCCTAGCGTGTATTAAAGAGCATGTCGTATTGAATTGTTATCGCAGGTGGAACACTTTTCTTTCCGGTCGTCCGAGTTCGATCAAATGGAGATGCAGTACTTCTGCCCAGCGCAGGACGAAAAGCAGTGCTTCAATTTCTGGGTGCGAGATAGACTCGCATGGTGGCACGATCTCGCCCGGGTTCCAGAGGACTTCATCACACTTAATGTGGACAAGGAGGATCTGGCCCACTATGCGTCCGGCAAGTGTTCGACGAATTTTTGAAATCCTGTGCATCTGAGCATGTACTGAAAATGTAACAGATTGCCCATGTCGTTTAGTGTGTCATTTTTTTGTACGATCGTGTCGTGTGCCAGAGGGGGCACTCCCCGGTCGGCTACAGTGGTTATCTGTATAGAATCCAGCAGAAAATCTCACAGCACAGAACACATGCACGTCTCCACCTATCAGCGTGCGTGGATATCGAGTACAGGTACCCGTGGGGATTCGATGAGATCGAAGGTATCGCAAGCCGCTCTAACTACGACATGAATCTCCATTCGAAGTATCATGAATTGGAAAAGACTAATGTTGATGATGGCGGTCTCAAGGAGAGCTTCGTGATCGAACCAGCCGCTGGGCTGTCGAGAGCGGTGTTGGCTTTCTTGTGCGACGCCTATACTGAGGTTAGTTCTGTTGTATGTGCAACTACTTTATATCCTTAGCAATAGATCGATTCAACTTCACTGCATTTTTGTGGTGATATTTCATAAGAATACCAAATTTAGTTTGACACCTGACTGATATCTTCACCACTCAGGATGTTCGCACGGATGCCAAGGGTGAATATATTCAGACCGTGCTACAGCTACATCCTAAGCTGTCTCCGTACAAGGCAGCCGTATTGCCGCTCGTGAGGAACAATGCCGAATTCGTTAGAAAGGTGAGAGCACTCGTACCAGACCACAGTATATCGTATTGCTTCCGCACCGTTTAATTTAAGGACTACAGCATTACGACACCCTAACACGCGCGTCCTATTTCAGGCACTAGAGATAAATGAAGATTTACTGTCCAATGACTTGGCTACCAGCTACGACGACGGTGGAGCCATTGGTATGTTGCGTGGTAGATTGCCGCTTTTTGAAATAACTTTTTGTAGTGCATGGCTATTACATCAGAAACAAGATTCGAATTCTAGTTTATCACATTGTGCTCTTTTGATAGAGCATTTTTCGTTTATTCTGCGTAGGAAAACGGTATGCCAAGCATGACGAGATCGGAACGCCACTCTGCATTACTATCGACCAGGTATCAGTGACCTTTTTTAAAGCTTATAGGCTTACGAATCGGAGGAAAGTTAGACAATTAATTTGTGTATTTTATGCAGTTCTTCCACAGCGCATTAAACAATAATTCAAGTGGTAAAAGTATTGACTAATCTTGCATATATGATAAAAATCTTTTCTTACGCGCAGCTAACTTTGGACGATGGTTCAGTGACGCTGCGGGATAGGAGGGATGGCTCACAACGAAGGATAGCGTGCACAGAAGTTGCGGATGCCGTTCAGAAGTACATTGCGCAGTATTGATACACTGACCTTGACATTTACGAACGTATAGACAAGTACCAGAGCGAAACAGGAGCGTTGTTTTGATAACTAAAAAGCACGCGACACGCTAATTGTTACAATCCAACAATATTTCTAGATTGAGTACAGAGCAACAGCTTTTATTATATGCAGTGCAAAGCATTTCAATGTGACAACTGTAGTACAATGTCATTTAAGCACTCGCAGCTGCGTACGAACCGTCAGTAGTGTTGCCTGACGTGTAGCTGTGCTTTCCAGCACCGGCAAGCTTTCCGTCCTGTTGGTGCAGAGGGATACAGGTTTGATAACGAAATTTAGTCCAGAACAGAGTGTCGATAGTGAATATTAAAAAAAACATCGAATACGCACATGAGATGAGAAAGATTTTCTAACTATTCCATATATATAAACGATCCGTAATGGGCTTGTCAAAATCTCGACACGGCTTCAGGTCAAATACATACCTGGCAAATTAGGTATTCGTGGCGCTGCTCCTTGCCCTCGAAGTAGTTCTCTAGGATCTCAAATACACCAGCGACGTAACGGGCCTGAGCAGACAAGGTTGTTCCACTGTAGTGTGGGGTCATTCCAGCGTGGGGCATGTTTCTCCATGGATGGTCAGCTGCAATGGAAAGAATGTATAATTGGATTTAACGGGTATTCACAAAGCAGTGGGGAACTAGCAAGCCAAAAGCATGCGTGGGGGAGCGGGGCCATCACCATAAGTAGATTAATTAAACATTATCCCGATTGAAATTCTTAGCAAATCGACATCAATGATACCTGGTGCAGGCTGGGGAAACCAGACATCTCCGGCGTAACCTGAAGGATAAAAGAATGTGGTTTTTTAGTTAAAGTAAGAAGAAAATGACATCACCGCAAACTTGAACAAAGTTTATAAATCACAACAAACATGCGTGACTATACAAACACTAATACGTTCTCCCAGATACCTGCAAGCTGGCCAGACTCGAGCGCGGCCTTAATTGCATTCTTGTCGCAAATCTTGCCTCTTGCAGTGTTGACAATGTACGCCCCCTTCTTCATCTTACCAATAAGCTTTTCGTCAAAGAGATTCTCCGTCTCGGGGTGAAGTGGACAGTTGATAGTGACGACATCCACTGTTTCCACGAGACTCTCGACTGTGGGGTGGTAGGTCACGTTCAACTCCTATCGTAGTAAAAGGACAATTTGATTTCAGTTCTGAATAAGAATGTGCATGAGCGCCCGCGCAGGCATTCACAGCGAAATATGAAAATTGTGCATTACAGAAACGGGAGCTATATTTGAAACAGCATTCGACTAAAATACACCCGAACAATCGAAATACCTGACACATTCACACCCAACTTGGGAATGTAAAAGATTTTGATAAACTATTGAGAGTCAGTGTGGATGGGTACAGTATCTAACAAAACATTTTCCGTAGTCTTTGACAGACGACAATGGGTGTTGTCTTCACAAAGGAACTTTGTATTTTTAGAGCGAATAAATATCCATAGCAAGGCACCAATGCAAATACAAGAGCACCTAAGGGCAAGCAAACGAACCTTTTCAATTGCCTCTGGCAGGCGATGATGATCGTAGTAGTGCAACTTCACGTCAAAGGGATGGAGGCGTCTCATTACACGTAGTCCAATACGACCCGCGGCCACTGTACCTACATTCATGCCCTCGAGATCGTATGCTCGAGATGCGCATTCTCCGATATCCCAGCCACCGCTGGTAGCGATTTTGTTGGATGGGATGTAGTTACGAACCAACCCTAGGATCATCATAACCACATGCTCAGCGACACTGACAACATTCGATCCGGTGACTTCTGTGACAGCAATCTTGCGGTCATTGGCTGCCTCCAGGTCTACGTGGTCCGACCCAATCCCAGCTGTGATGCACATCTTCAGGTTGGGGCTCTGCTCCATACGCTCTTTTGTGATATAAGCAGGCCAGAAGGGTTGTGAAATGGCAATATCGGCATCCTTCAGCTCCCTCTCGAACTCACACCCCGGCCCATCCTTGTCAGAGGTGACTACCAGAGTATGACCTCGAGCCTCCAACCACGACCGCAAACCCAGCTCACCGGACACTGAGCCTAGAAGTTGCCCAGGTGTTAACTCGGGGCGTGCCCAGGGGTCAGAAGGACATGTGTCTAAACCTACATTCGGTACGGAATCACGCGCATACTTGGGCGGATACACGGCCGGATCAGGGTAAAGAGCACATACGACCTTTGCTTGCTGTCTGGTAATATAATTTGTACAAGGTATAAGTATTAGCCTAGTAGATAAATATAATTTGTACAAGGTATGGGTATTAGCCAGCGAGTGTGTATGGGTGTGACAAGAAAATGAATGACACAAGGCAGACGAAGTACAAGTGGGCTTGAATGGGACATCACTAACTAATGTTGATGTTGGAATATGCAGTATCCCAACATTTGAAATATTACAACGAACGTGCGTGAGCTTCACGTATTTGAATGTTTAAATATATATATATATATATATATATAGATATATAAATATATATATATATGTGTGTGTGTGTGTTTGTATAATTGGACGACATTGTCGTCCGGAATACACCACACCCTACAAGCAAAGCAACTGGCCCGTTTTTGGTTCATCGATATACCTGTGCGCTGAGCTAAAGTATCGGACACTCCGCCTTCCCGAAGAGGTGATGTTGTTGGCTCTAAACATGTTTAATTTAGCTAAGTAAACTGAAGTGCAGGACGAAGAGCAAGCTACCTATGTATGTTTTCGTGAGAATACTATGCTGTTTACCGAAAATTCAAAAGTGTCAGCTTTCGACTTTTCACGTCGAAAGAGCCACTGCTTTTGTTGACAGTTTTTTTCTTCACTTTTTCTGTTATCAGTAAAAAGTCGAAAAGAGTAGACGGTAGAGTGATAAAAGTTCGTACCACGTAGACGGCTCATTCTTATTGGACATTTTTATTTCAAATATGCATAATCAACGCAGATGGATCTATATTTAGCTACCTGGTAAATATTTACGACCTATCGTAAAGTATTTGAAATATTTGAATGTTTCTATCCATTTGGAAACCTACAATAAAGTGTCGGAAATTTCTTCAGATGAGGATAGTTTCAGACTTGTCGTTAATGTCGTGAGATAGCGAGCAGACTGATATGTCGGAAATCAAATAAACTATGTTGTTTACTAGGACGATATTAGGATATGGCACAAAAGTCCGAATATCGGTACTAAGTTCGGTACCATCAAAAACCTGCTGATATGACCAAGATACAAATCATAACCATAACCTCCGCTATTCTATCCGACTCTCTCTAGCTCTCTATGTAGTAGAAAAAACATGACACACACAAAAACACACACGTAAAATAATAAATGCACCGGCCAATGCCCAATGGCCACCACGGACAATTGGACCGTCAGCAATTCGGCATGGCCATCGGCGGATAATCTCTCCCTTCTCTCTTATCTTGTGGAATATGTTTTTTCATAAATTTGAGAGCCCTCCGTACCTTATCCTCACTTTATATTTATATTTGATATTCTAATGATGTTTGCGACCCGAATCAACCCAGCCATTGCCTCGTCGGCCCGATGTGCTCAGCGGCACATGGCCTCGACACGTCCTCTACAACCGAGAGATGCTGTGATTGTAGCTGGTGCACGAACACCCATCCTATCCTTCTTGGGCGAGGGAGCCAAATATACAGCTCCTCAATTGGCGGCTCATGCGATTAAAAAGGTGCTCTCGGACTCCGGCGTTGATGGCAGCAAGATCGAAGAGGCCATCTTTGGTAATGTGGTGAGTGCTGGTGTAGGACAGGCACCCGCGAGACAAGCCGCCAAAGGCGCCGGACTACCGGATAGTGTGATCTGCACAACGGTCAACAAGGTGTGCTCGTCGGGTATGAAGTCTGTGATGTACGCTGCACAGGCGATTAAGTTGGGAGAGAGGGACGTGATTCTTGCTGGTGGCATGGAGAGTATGAGCAATGCACCATTTTACTTGCCCGGTGCGAGGAGTGGATACAAATACGGCAACCAGAAGGCGCTTGACGGCGTGTTGGTAGACGGACTATGGGATCCGTACAACGACTTCCATATGGTAAGTATGTCTTCTGACAGTCAAATATGTTTATAAATAATATTTTATCAACTGATTTCGGTACTCGGAAGTTTGTGATAGTCAATCTGGGCTTACCTGTGAGAGAACCCTGGGTTGCGTTCGTTTGATAGATGGGCATCATTGAGGAGGTTCAATACAACTTTTGAGATTTGTTCTGCTCGGTAGGTGATACAGGGTCTTGAAAAGTTCGATAAGTAACTGTCTACTTGCACGAATACAGGGTAACTGTGGAGAGAAGACGAGTAAGGATTACGGAATCTCACGCGAAGATCAGGATAACTACGCACTATCCTCATATCAAAAGGCGCAAAATGCTATCAAGGTATGTTTCGTTATCCTCCAGGTCAATCCTTGGGTCTTAAGTAATCCTTTACTGAGACCATTTTTACCGAATGTCACAAGTAGCATTTCTGTAAATCTTACGTCCCTGGAATCTTAATATTAGTACTTAGTCAAACGACTGCAAGAAGCTGAAGCAACCAGGGGGTAATATGGACTACTGCACCGTGTATTGTCGTATACATATATTCTACATGTTCATGCGTACGTCGTGTATATTCATATAGATTTACATACACATGCGTGCGTGCATTTCAAAAAACTAGATTGTAGTGGAGACTTTTTTTGTGCCTGCGTTTGTGTTCATCAGCCTGCGAAATGAAGATATGTGTAATAAATAATCAGCTAAAATATTAATATGTACCATGGACTGCATGAGCAGAAAACTTGGGGGGTATTCATTTTGCTAGTCCATCGTCAAGGTAAAATGTTGATCACGAAAGTGTATTAATTTTCTCCGAACACAGGCCGGTGTGTTCGACGACGAAATTGCACCCCTGCCTGTTGGCCGCAGCGGAAAGTTAATAAAAGATGACGAGGAGCCAAACAAGATTAACAAGGAGAAGTTCTTAAAATTGAAGCCAGCGTTCCAAAAGGACGGTATGTTTTGCGTTGTCTATGTTTATTACCTAATAGATGTTATATTCATGTATGTACACGATAGAAATTTGCAATTGTATGCAAATCATACATATTTACATTCGATTTTGTGTTTATATTTTTGTTGATTTTGTGACCGCGAGGGTTCTTGTATCGCTTACGTTTAACACTTCACTAAGTGAATTGATTCCGAGGTATACATAATAGTATTGCTGTAAGGCGAAATAACTATTTGGTAAGGGGTTATTGATTTTATCACGAATATGTTTAAGTGGTGGTCTATGGATATAGAATTAGACACAATCGACAGCAGAAACACGTGATGCGAGCTCAAAAATTCCCAGTATGAACACCATTGTATCTTGTCATGGATTTAACGAAAGCTCCCTTTTTATTGCAGGCACCATCACCGCCGGTAATGCCAGCAGTTTGAATGACGGAGCTTCCGCTCTACTTGTAATGTCCAGTGAGAAAGCGAACGAGCTTGGCCTGAAGCCATTATGCAGGATAGTTTGTAAGTTCAATGTGTAAGGCTGTTCGATACAAGTTACTCTGAGTCTACCCAAATCACTATCGAAGCTAGTCACAGCTGAGTCGTTATGGGTAGCACTCGTATATATGGTTTAACCCACCTTGGAAGCATTAGTCCAACAATTGATTATTATTAATATCTTTGCAGCCTACGGCGATGCTGAGATCGCCCCAATTGATTTCGGAGTGGCCCCGGCGGAAGCGGTGAAAGAAGCGATGAAGAGGGTAGGTAGCTAGTTTCGAAAACGCGGGGGTTCAATTGTTTATCTTCTCAGCTTAGTTTTACTATTCATTTTGCGGTACCTTGCATGCTGAAATAGAGGATACCGATAGCAAGTACTGGGAAGTGGGCGAATCTTTCAGGCTAGTTGCGGATTCGTTGTGACCTTTTTTCTCCGTGCTAATAACCTTTACGCGATCTCTTAATAGGCTGGAGTAGAGGTTGCTGATATCAAGCATTGGGAAGTGAACGAAGCATTCAGTTCAGTTGCGATCGCTCAGCAGAAGATTCTGGGCTTCCCTCTGGAGAGTCTAAATATCAATGGCGGAGCTGTAGCAATGGGACACCCCATTGGGTAAGTTAATAAGACTACTCACATTGAGAGCAAGCGTTTCTATGCCCACCTGCTATATTGCCACTACTTTGGTTCAGCATTGCTTATCGTATGCACATGCTGATTATCGTATGCGCTTTAATCTGATATTAAATTTCACATATATTATAACTGACAGGATGTCTGGAAATCGAATCACACTAACTCTGGCTCATCGACTAAACAAGGCACCCAAGGGCGAACTAGGTATTTGGAATCATATTTCCGTGAAGATTTTTCTCGATTTTAGTTTGTTGTATTGTAATTTTACGCGACACAATATGGGCTGATTTTCATGTTGCAAAGGTTGTATTTCGTTTCTCTGGGTGCATGTATTCTTGTAGCCAACATTGAGGCTCACTGAATATATATACGTTTCTTTTATTGCGTAGATTGACATCGAATATGCAATATGCATCTATGAACATATTGAAGAGGCGTCTCTGATCATTCAATTCCATGTTTTCCAACTACAGCTTGTGCTTCTATCTGTAACGGCGGTGGCGGAGCATCCGCGATCATCCTGGAAAGTTTATAAAGTGTGACAGACTCCCACTCGCAAGCAAAGTTAGGCGATTTTAGAAACTACACCAGCTGTCAAGTGAATATGGTTTTCCTAAATAGCATGTCGGATTCCACTGGGCTAAAATTACACTCAACTGAAATAAAAAATACATAAATATATTCGTCGGACTATTTATGAAATACCATAGGCTTCTATAATTATTTGAGAAGGCTATGGAAATACAAGTGATTTTTTCCTGTTTTGAAAGCACGTGCGGGAGAATTATTGAATAAAACACTTCTCGACACCGAGTGTCCGACATGAGGACTTGAAAGTGGTAAAATCATAACGTTGAAAACGAAATCCCTAAAGGGTCAAAAGTCATGATAAAATTCTTTCAATACAGTTTTGTAGGGCGGTAAAACGTTTACGCTTTCAAGGATTTTTATTATTATATGAAGTCGTTCACCGTTGCTTGACATCCGACGGACCGAACTTGTTTATTTTGTATATATATATTTATATCTAAAAAAATAAAGATCCGGAATAAATAGGGTTGAGACTTGGGGAGTTGGGACAATGTCACAAATCACTACGGGGAAAGTCTGAAAGCCTGAAACTCAGAAACAGGCTATTATTTAGCCTATTACCTGAATTTGCCTTTACAGCCCCATGAGACAAAAATGACAATATATTTTTAAATTTCTTATTGGATACTGATTTCGATGATAACGAATTGAGCATCCATTTCCAATTGTATTTGATGTTGATTGGAGGTTTCGTTCCGATAAGAGTGCTTTATTGCTGATCACCCAAGATACCAGAAAGATGGAATCATGGAAAGACTCGCAAGAGTCACGGAACCATAAATAGTTAAATACCTCTTTTAAAATATATCATGTCGCCTATTACTACCAAACAGGATGGACGTCTCGGATTTGTTGCTGCGATTCGCTCGTGGAATTTGCATTGCTCTGCGCTTTCTATTGTGCGCACATTGCAATACCTAGCATTTCCTGTTCATCACCCCGAGAGTACGCATCATGATTGTTTTCAATAGGCAGTCATCCCTTTGAAAATTAATCGTTCGATTCTATAGCGGACTAATTATTTATTTTCAATCTCTATTCTTGAACGAGTTCGAATACCTCAATATAGTCTATAAGCACTTCAGAACATAACTTCACTTCACAGGTGCTCGCTGATAATAGACGTGGCCATCTGTTCTAGATACCGCCCCCACTGCTTCAAGCTTTTTTAACAGCATCTTAAAAACACCTAATCCCGACATCAGAACACCTAATCCCGACATCAGTAGTAAGAAAGCCAGTCACCAAAGATGACACTCACTCCGGACACGAATATGCCGGCTTCGTGTATGATTCCACTCACCGATACAAATGGTGCGGAAAAACTTTCGAATTCTACGTCCTTAAAATCATTCACTTTGAATATGCCAAGTCGTCCTCAGCAGCAGAGAGTTCTGCCAGCAGGACCTATCGGCTATCCACTGTTTCAACCTGCATTGAATAGCCCAATTTTAGACGGAAGCAAGAGGCCACGTGCTCGCAGAACATTCAAGCAGTTGAAACGGGAGGTACAATGTACGGTGGAGGGATGCACGCGTCGGTATGCTACCTCCTCGTCTTTGCAAACCCATATGAGAATAAAACATGCGGATATACTAGCAGAAATGCCGCCCAAAAAAGGTGACTCAGCGAAATCCAGAAAGACTGTACCTCCCTCGCCTGTAGCTCGGGATCGCGCACCGCAAAGTCCTTACTCGCGCATCAGGCCTAGTGTCAGTGGGCCGAGTTTACCGTCACTGAATCCGCCACTGAGAAGTTTCAGTTTCGATTGCGGAACGGGAAAGCGTACTGATGGCGTCTTATTTAGTGGAAGTGGACTGAACATCAATTCTATGGAGGCATTTGATATGTCGCAATTCACTGGGGCAATAAATACGCCTTCTCTCGATTCCTTTGATTTGCCAACTTCGCCGATGGCAAATTATGGAACTACGCATCCTATGTTGATCGCTCACCCTGTGCAGCCACAGATGTTGTCACAAAGAGCAACACCAATCCCCCCGATGCACCCACATCCATTGGGTATGGTAATGAGCCAGCAAAGTATTTTCGCATCTCCACAGCCAATCCCTCGGATGTCTATGGCAAGTCACAGTCACAACTTCGATATGCGACCGATACTACGCCAGCAAAGTACCTACACGGAATTTAGCAGTTGTAGGTCAATCCACACGCCTACAAGCTCCATTACTCCGACTCCAAGTATCGTATCGCGATCGATGAGTATGAACGACTCTGAGACACCGGATACAGACCTATTGGAGGGTAATGATATAGATCTTGCGTCCTTCCCAGGCCTGTTTGGTCACTTGGAATTCGATAGTCTGTTTTCGTCCGAACAGGAAGGAGGTGAGAAAGGATCGGTTTCACCTTCAAGTCTTGCAGCGTAACCTTTAAGCCGACTGAAAGCAGGCGCGTACAGCACTTGGTTCGTTCTCAGTCATACAAACTCGACTACGCCGACTCAAGAGTACAATATCGCGGTTGATGAGTATGCACGACATTGGGATACCGAGTGCAGACGTTTCAGAGGGCTTAGATTCCGAGGGTAAACATCTTGAGTCCTTCACATATCTGTTTTGTCACTTGAAGCTCGATATCCAAACAGGATAGAGCAGGCGGTGTATGAAGGATATGGTGGAAGGAATCTCGTAGTACTTGGTTCAGCCCATTCGGAGAAGAACTATATTAAAGGCAGGGAAATTGAAAGTCGTGCAGACCAGTTTCGATATGCAATGCAACAACTGTGCTGCAATCGACATCCGGAATTCCCACAGAGTAATTTTATCACGAAGCCAGCAACAGATAATGTTCCAGTAATACTGCGGTGCAGTGAACGCATCAAAGTACATATGTTTTCGAGTGAAAGCATCAAAACTTACATATGTTAGAAGTTATCACAGGTACTCTTGAGATTGACAAGTATGAGACTATTTAAGAACCTTACATGGCTGCTTCACTGTCGGGAAGACGATGTTGATAGGCAATAGAAAAGTAACGAAGTCGTAGGTCGTTCGTGACAATAAATAAATACAAGTCTATGTACTAAAATTTGGAGGTGTTCTTTGCACTGAGATGTGATTTAATACTTCTTGACAATAGTTCCCACTCAAAACTTATATATTCACGCCTCTACTAGTAGACACGGTGCTATAACTTTTTTTTAACCAACGCTTGCAATTGACTATCTATGCCTCTTGTGGTACTTATAACTCATTTTTAACCATTTGACAGTTCAAGCATATGGCTTTTGAAGGCTACAAATAAAATGTTTCATTGTATATGTTTAGAACGTTTGGACGAGGTGCAGGCCGATTTCGACGGCGCGGTGTGTACAATACGACTCGCACCGTCGGCGGCATGAGATCAAGGGATATACTGTACACAGCTAAATCCCCCCCCCCCCCCTTTTATCTCGGCAAAAGAAATAAATCTATTAACGTCAAGTTGACAATTTAATTTCCGTCGTTCAGCTAACCCTTTAATGAGAACTTGGTTGTATGACTCTTATTCTGCATTCATAGTACTTGCGTACAGGCGATTTGTAATTGTGTGTTTGTATGTATATATACGTGTATATTTTATGTTTGCATATCATACTTTAGATACGTTTATTTTACAGGCAAGTCACAATCTGTCGTCCATTAATAGCTGATACAGTGTGCAGAGACATGTCTAATGGTCCTGGAAGCGATCGAGATAAGGTTGAGATAAGGTTGTAAATTAGGCTGCTCGGAGGACTCAGGAGTCAGGACTGAGTTGCCTCTGAAATCTGAAAAAAATGTGTGTTGCATATTTTCATTTTTGTTTAATAAAACAAACCAAAAAAACAACAAGTAAAATAAAACGCAATCTGACTGAAGGCACTAATAAATTGAAATACCGACAAAAGAGCTCAGCTTGTGTTGTTGTTTTGTTTTTATTTTTACACTCCGCGTGCAGCCCTCTCGGCCAGAAGAGCATAGCCTTCTAAATTGTACCAGCAGAGAAGTGTACAAATTCGCTACATAAAAAAATATTTTTCGAGGAGTAATATCTTTTATAGATTTAGTATATGATGAGTCATGATATGTTAAATACAGTTCATGATGTGTTTTAAATACTGTACATATGTATTTTATTTATATGTTGTCTACTTCCTGAAAGTATACATGGTTCTAAGTTCCGACTATTTTTGTTTTGAAAAAATGAATAAAATACTGTTCAATTTAGCTACATAATATGCTAAACAATATTACACATATATATATCTCGCTAGTCACTCTCACTAGTCTACTCTCTAGAGAGAAGAGGTCGTTTATCTATTATATAAACTATGAAGGCATCCAGCGTTGTACTTTATGCCCTTTGGCTGGTGGGGTCATTGGTCTCAGCACACGGCGACCACGATGATGAAGACCACACCCACGATGATGAAGACCACACCCACGATGATGAAGATCACACCCATTTCATAACAATCGAGCTGTACGGAGACACAACGGCTTGCGATTCCCCGAATCCAACTATCGATCCAGTCGAACTTGACCATGTAAGTGCTTTAATTGTCTAATTTTGAAAGGGCGTTAACCAATCCTTTCAGAAAATCAGAGTGCTGTATATATTTATATATATATATATATATATATGTGCGTGTGTGTGTGTATATATGTATAAATACATATATATATATATATATATATATGTGTGTGTGTGTGTCTTTCTGTGTGTGTGTGTGTGTCTCTCTCTCTGTGTGTGTGTGTATATTTATGTATGTATGTATGTATGTAAGTATGTATGTATGTATGTTAGGATGTATGTATGTATGTATGTATGTACGTATTTATGCATGTATATATATATATATCTGATCAACCTACTTATATATATATGTGTGTATGTGTGTGTGTGTCTTTCTGTGTGTGTGTGTGTGTGTCTCTCTCTCTCTGTGTGTGTATATTTATGTATGTATGTATGTATGTAAGTATGTATGTATGTATGTTAGGATGTATGTATGTATGTATGTATGTACGTATTTATGCATGTATATATATATATATCTGATCAACCTACTGTTTAAAAATACACCTGTGAATTACGTCTTACGATATTACTGGCAGTGCACATGCAACATCCGAGGTAGAACGCAACTTATGTGAGATACTCAGGTCACATAATTACAATTTTTTTTGTTCGAGTGGTTTTACTGAGGGGATGACCAGTTTTAATGAAAGGTTGTATTATTACGCCTGCAATCTGATACTTTTGTACAATATTTGGCCTTCTCCTTCACGCCGACTTACTGAAGTTTCGTCAGTGATATCTAGAGTGTTGCGCTACTCATGTCTGGTTTGACGTACCCAATTCAGCTAGTTCTTGTATGTTTACTTTGTTGTGTGGGCTCCTTTACCTCTGAATTTGCTTTTGAGTGCTCGATCGTTACATTCATATTATTAGCGCTGAAGGCAGGGGGAGGTATGTTATGCTCTTGAGGAGGCCTCCATTGTAATCATTACTTGACACTATGAGAAAAGTCAAATTTAGTGTTGGATTTCAAGCGATTACAACCTGTGTCAAATTCTCCCGCATATACTAATAAAAATTGAACTCTCTCTGAAACCGAAGTGTTATCGAGGCTCAACATGTAATGGTTCTGATTGCCCCGATCAAGCTGATGGCGATGCGCAATGGGAGATGCTTTCCCTGATGACAGATGGAGATGGAGAAGAAATCCTTGTGCTACAAACTTACAAGGTGAGTTTGTGATGCATGAATTTGACTATGTTAGGTAGAAATGGCTGCTCCGTTTCAGATAAAACTTTTTGAGAAAAAAATATACAATTGAAAGGTTCGGGTTGCATTTCCTTTCCCTTACGATAATTTTCCTATTTCCAGATTGTACATGTCCAAGTAATGTTCACTCATTGGCGTACATGCGACGTTCTAAATGCCTGTTGACGGAGCATTTGATATTCCGCCTTTGTGGTCCATATTATTGTGTACGAGAACCACATATTCTTGATTACATTGTAAGCGATTGATTGCGTCATTGTATTGAATATACGAACTTGCCATATCAAGTGAATGCAATTACAGTTCCATTAGTACGCACCATTTCTGGCCCGTGCGTAGAAATATCTTAAGTGTTGTGGCCGTATATTCTTCAGTGTCTATACAGATATGCAGTTTGCATATCCACAGACTCGTACTCAATAATATACACATAGATACATAAAAGTATATGTAAACCTGCATTTTTTTCTGAGGTTGCTCGATGAAATGATGCTGTTTGCAAAACGAAGGTGCGAGTGGCTTTTAGCAACACAATTGACATTTGTTTATGCTAATTTAATAAGTGTGCTTTCATTTTAAAATTTATTTATTTTGTGAACGATTTTAGCTATGCAATGGGTCACGTAGTTTAAGTGCTGCAACTACGATAAAGCTTTTGTTATTTATATATATATATATATATATATATGCGTGTGTGTGTGTGTTTGTGTGTGTGTGTGTGTGTATGTGTATGTATGTATGTATGTATGTATGTATGGTGTGTGCAGCTGTATATATATATATATATGTGTGTGTGTATCTATGTATCTATATATATATATATATTTATTTATGTGTGTATACATGTATGTTTGTCTGTGTTTGTGTCTGTGTCTGTGTAGGTGTCTGTGTGTATGTATATACATAAATATATATCTATATGTATATATATATATATATATATATTTATATATCACTTGGTATACCATAACGCATCTACTTATGGACATGTGTGTGTACATTTTTTGAGTAAACACACATATCGTTACATCATTCATATTCATACATTTACTTGCATTACTTTTTTGTAAAAATGCACGAATTTATAAATTGACGATTCAATTGGAGAGTACAATTAGTTGAATATGACTTAGTTTTGACCGAGTCGGATGCAGTAAAAAATATGCCTTCAGTTGGAATACGGTTATCCATGAGGATAGGTTTTCGGGAGTTGTACTTGGCACTAGCCTTAGATTTGCGAGCGAGGCTAACATGAACTCTGCGATTAATCACACAGGATGAGGAGTGTACGTCTTTGCTGATGCAAGAAGAAAAGGAGATGAACAAATGTAAAGTTTTGGGGGAGAACCAGAGTGTTTTTTATGGACCGTATGTGACCGTTTCGGATACGTCATCGACGGCTGGGGATTCGGATACAACCGTTGCGGAGGCTGACACGGCAAATGAGACACAAACAGTGATTGCGGATGCTGACACGGCAAATGGGACACAAACAGTGATTGCGGATGCTGACACGTCAAATGGTACGCAAACAGTGATTGCGGATGCTGACACGGCAAATGGTACACAAACAGTGATTGCGGATGCTGACACGGCAAATGGTACACAAACAGTGATTGCGGATGCTGACACGGCAAATGGTACACAGACAGTGATTGCGGATGCTGACACGGCAAATGGTACACAGACAGTGATTGCGGATGATTCCGGCAAAGAAGTACAAGTGACCTACTATCTGAATGCTGCGTGTGAAGGCGAAGATCTGCGGGATAGCATCCGAGACGTATGTGGTACTTGGGGTTCGTTCTTTTGAACTATTTTTTTGCAATTATGTTGTGTGAGTTTTTTAATTTTTGGAAATACTTCGTTCTTGTGTAGCCTACATGCGTTTACAAGGTATGCGATGCGAAAGTTACTTGATTTTCATTCGTTTCTTGAATTTGCCTTAATTGAACGTTCGTTCACCGAGTATCCAGTTCGACATCAACTCGTGCTATTTCGAGCACGAAGACGAGCTCCCGTACTACTTCAAATGGGAGCATCTTCTGACCGACGGAGAGAGTAGGCTCAAGAAGTCGTACTATTTAGACAACAAGTGCCTGCACGTCGATCCCGGTAAGGCCTCTAATCAAGGGCTCGATGGAAAAGCGATAGGATGTATAAGTAAATTTTGTTGATATATGCTAATTGTAGCATATTAGCGCTATTAATGTACCCCTGTTACCAATATAGAGAGTTGGATGTGTGTTTCTTGTCCTTGCTTAGTCACTTCCAATTCATTTGTCAACAATTCGACAGAGATGGTTTGCTCTTTGTCAGCCTATGACATTCATTTGTTACCACACAGTAGATGAAGCCCTTATTTTCCTATTTCAATTCATGTTTTATTGGGTTCCAGAAATCAAGATCGACGTTGTCTCTTTACATCCTTTCGCCTATATGTAATATTTACCAATTTACAAAAATCAACACATCTTTCTGCCAAGAATTATATTTTTTGTGGTCCTATTTCACGCTTATAACCAATCAAGCAAGTGATAGTACTCACAATACGGTGGGAGTGCCATTAGGAGCTGAGATTGTACGGCTTTATCACTTGTCTCATGCATCGTATCATCTTTTTACTATTTCAGATGTTGCGGAGTTCAATGTACTCGCTGAGTGCCATTAGGAGCTGAGATTGTACGGCTTTATCACTTGTCTCATGCATCGTTTCATCTTTTTACTATTTCAGATGTTGCGGAGTTCAATGTACTCGCTGGCGCGTGCAACAAACTCGGAGTCACGAACTCGATTAAAATATCATTACAAGATTTCGGTGGCCCACAGGTAGGGTTCGGCTTTGATTGAGGCCGTATACAGTCCTATTGCGAAATCAGCCGAAAGAACTATGTATGCCATCAAACTGTTGTATAAGGTGCACATTCCAGACCAACATGTCTAAAGCATGGTTGCTGTGAAAGGCTGAACACCACAGGCCTTGGTGCCATCCCGGAGATGAGAGCCAATCGTATGTGGCATCTGGTCAGAATTGGCGATGTCATTGTACCCCTGCGTCTATAATAGTTTAAAATGAAATAAATGGACAGCTGAACTACCCATTTTTGGTTTAAACCTGGCTGCATCAAGTGCACTGGCATGCTAATTTTCTTTAAATTTACACTTTTAAGTATTTTCACGTCTGCGAGCTCACACAAGTTCGTGATTCGTTTCTGAATTTAAACTAGACTATGAATGTTGGCTTAGCCAATTTGTTTGTGTGCGCGCTCCATGAAGATTTAGAGGTACATTTGTCACCCTCAGAGCCTTCACTTTATTTTCCTCATTGAGGTGTACATCGGCTGATTATTGAATCGAGGCTGAATGGAGTTTATTCTTATTTCACTCTTGAATCTACCATCAGGTGAGGTATGAAGACAATTGCTGCACGTTAATGCAAAGTGGTATTGCTGTGAGCTGGATACCTACGTGTGACGTCCAGCTAGCCTAATATATGTGCGGGGTTTTTTTTCGCCGCGTCTCCAAGTAGTGAACTATCTTCCCCAGTCGAGATTTTCTATACGGTGCGATAGAAAAATGGAAGTCGAGATGGTGGATTCGACTACGCCATTGCTTATTCACGTCAGTGTTCTTGGAGAGCAATGCGGTTGAAAACTGTGATTCGTTCCATACAATGGACGCTCGGCTGGAGCACTGGGGCCTTATGTGTGGGAGACTGGTATACGGCCTACTACATGTATGCAATTGGCAGTAAGGGCGAGTGTGAGAAGTACTGAGACTCTGTCCTGTGTGTGTACACACGGCTAATTCGAATGCGACGCATACACCTTGGCTTTGACGCGGCCAATTAGTGCCAGCAGCTCAAACGCAGCCGTACCCAAGTCCATTCTCAACAAATATATAAACTCACAATTTGTATCACGCTAAAAATGTAGTAGATTGGAAATCACGCTAAAGTAAACGATTGGTGCCGTCGTCTGTCGATCTGATCACTCCCCAGGAGGATTCAGCTCGAAGTCAAAGAGATACTTCTTATCATTCTGCGTTAGCGCACCAACATGTCCTGGCGGAGTTGCAAATGCCACTATCCTCAACGGCTGCACACCGAGTAGCTTACGCAGATCTATCTGGCCCACGCCTGGTATACCCACGGCCAGCCACCTGAACAGGTACGGAATGAGATTTGTTTGTACCTGTACATACACGACATGGACTGTATTCTATATCTGATACATCACCGGCTGTAATGGCGCGTTTACAGACAGCCGAGCAAACAAAGTAAGCGTTTATGTACGATTACCATGCCATTCCCCACCACATGCAACTGGTACAATGCGTTCGGTATTTACATACAGCTCCAGGTACTCACACGCAACTCCTATGTACTATTGTGTGCTTTGGCTTGAAGTATGGATAGATGATATTCTCGTCCACTGATGCTCGCAAAATACATTTCTCTGAAAACTGATACTCGCCAACCTTGCGATTACAATACACTGGTAAGCATTTAGGAGACGTTGTACAAAGCAGAGAGCCCTCACATTACAATACTGTGAATTAAACGAGTGCTCTACATACCTCACGAAGTCGACGTACATGCCGTGCATGCTTATACTGTAAATATTCTCAGGGGAGTAATCCTTGATTTTCTGCCACTCGGCCTTCGTAGTAACTTCTGGAAGCATGTCTACGCCAACCTTAGGGGGCTGCTTTCCCGGCGGCGTCTCTATGAATCGATCTACTGTGCCAGCTAAAGGCATGCAGAGCATCCATGGGTTCAAGCACGGTTCGTTGCTGGAGTGTTTGTCTCCCATGTGCGCTTGAGCACCCGGTGTTATCGCAAACACGAACTTCGTGAGGACGTGTACGAGACCCTGCCGACAGGAATGGACAATCGAGTGCTATGGTTTGAGCAAACGGGTCACGATTGTGTGGATAAGAGACGCCTATGTGTGCAAGTGGCATTGAGATACAGAAGGATTCTCCAGTGACAAACGGATTTCAGAATATATTTAAGTAAGAACTAAACGCCGCATACGACAGATAAGGGTGTTGTGGTGTTGTACAACGACAAATAGCATACCTTTCCAAACATTCCCAGCTCCAGATGGTAAGTTCCTTCCAATCCCAGCAGGCACTGTAGGAACGAACATGCGTGAGAGACGTCCAATTAGACCACGACGGTAGTTTATTGGAGAAAATGGCTCCCGTGCACGCACGTACGAACGCCAGGGCTGGCATGAGGCCGCCTATGAGACGAGCGCAGTATGCTAGCACTGCAATAGATGAGAACATGGGGAAACGCTCAGGTGCGTCTAGGTATGGAGCTAAGGAAGTACAACAACGCCTTACCAAGCTGGCGTCTGTCTTGTTCTTGAAGCGCCCCTGCACTTGGATCTCGAACATTCGCTTCTTCCCCTCAAAGTAAGGAGCGTACACAGGATCTACCGGGTCGGTATTAAACTTGAAGATCACATTTCTGCAGTGGGTTTTATGAAGAAGAAAAAAACATTTAGTTTTGAACGTGTGCATAACATGAGTAGATGAGATTGTAAGAGACAACCCCAAGTGCCTCGCGTGCACGAAGATAAATGGAGAGGACTTGTGTCAAGTCACGACCAAAAGTGGCATACCCGACAAACATCTCCGTTTCAAACGGAATGGGCGATCGCGAGTTGGCCATGACCCTCTTGCCAGAGACTCTATCCCTGATCATCAGATCTCTGATACTTTCAGGCAAGTTATCATCCACCACCATCCGTTTGGCGTTCGCCAGATTTGCCTTGCTCAAGCGTGCTGTTCCGAGGATCATCTCGGGTAGTTCATCCACCTCTTGCGCCTCAAAGAGGATGGCAACATCGATCACAACATTGCGCAGGCTCTCTTTGAGCAGCTTGGTTACATCGCGTGCGTGGGGTTCGGAACCGATGTCAATATCAACCTCGAAATAGTTCTCGCCTCTGTGATGATGCATTTTGACGCCCTGAAAAGTACAGAATTGTGTATGCAATTGAGAACCTGCATCAATACAGATGCTCGGAAAAACTAACCCTTGAGCCCAATTTTAAACCAGTGTGTTTGGGAATGATACGTAAGCAAACTGCAACGCATAAAAAAATATGTATGAATCTTAGCCAAACGGATTGTCGGAACGATGGCGGAGCAATATGCGAATACCACCATACCTTCTTCCCTGGTAGAGTAGGCTTCTGCAAGAATTGCGACCCGAGTGTCTTCTTGAGAATTAGCCCGCCCTCCGCCAGAAAGGGAATGATCTTGAAGCGAGCGTTCCGGTAGTCATCGTCGCCATCAACGAAGTCCAGGAAGGACTCCATGAACTTGGAATACTTCGGGTCGTCTCTCCAGTCCTTCTCGCTTGGCTGTAAGTAGGAAAGCATCGAAATAGTCCATTTTTGAAGAAAATCGGAAGAAGACATATTGTGTTGTGATCTCAAGTGGGTGAGTCGTGCTGGACACTCTCTTGGGCCAATCCTTTGGTAAGGAGAGACTATCGCTGAGCAAAAAATATATGCAACGTTGATCACATGTGTAGGGACAAAAAAAAGTGCAGCTATCATATATGTGTACCTGGAAATAGCAGACGATACAAATGTTTTCTCGCCCTGGCAGAACGAAGTTCACGGCAAATGTGTAAGGAACTTCCGAATCCGCCTGCTCCTTTTCATTCATGCGACGTATTATGTTGCTCGAATCCGCACAGACGTTGAAGCACGTCAAATAATCAGTAAAGGATAACATATCCATTCCCACAAGCCTGAAGGGGGAGGCGGTGGCTTTGACCTTCTTACCATCCTCCAGATACGTTGGACCTCGCACGCGGAAGCTGGAGGGGCTCGGTTCAGCCCACATCGACCTATGCAGACTGCACGGGATGAACTTGGCTGGCTTGACTGCACTATCGGGATGCTTTCTCTCAATCTCCTCCCCGCCTTCCGCGAGTGTCTTCTTGTACTGTATGGTGGTGTGGGTGCCATCGGTGGGCACACTGCTGAACCACGACGCATCTGAGGTGAAGCTAAGCTCGTGCACTTCGTCACGGATATGCACAATCATCCTCAGGAGACCCATACAGAACCGCATCGCCACGTTGCCGTACTGAGCAAAATAGGACTTCCAACACTCGGGATCGTATCGAACGTACAAGGCACACAGGCTCCGCTTCTTGCACGACTTACAATCTACGTCGCCGTCGCTGAGCGGCACTCCAATGTGTATCGCAAAGGAATCCACATGCGCACGCACAAACTGCTTGGTCTCAGGGCACGAGGCATGCTCTGTGGAGGACATGACGATCAAATAGCTGCCGTCGTCTTCCTTTCGCCTGTCAAAAATGCAACGGGGAGCATTAGCACGGTCGACAGAGTAGCAATTGGCAAAAGCAAAGCAAAAAAAGTATGTGCTACAGTTATACTCGTTCAACAAGGTAGAAGCATACCCACACCATGGTCTGATACATTTTTCTGACTTGGGCATGGTCCGATGACTACCGAAAAATAAAAATGATTAAAAAAGTACCTTGCATCAATTGTACAAGTACCATGCTTCGAATATACGATAACCATACCAGTATCGCATTAGGCAAAGATCACGCGGTTTGAGAGTGTAGAATCCGATTTGCACCGGGGGAAGAACTAATTGCATAACATCCGTGTACTTGTCAATCTGGAAGTGGGTTAGACGTAGGGACTTAGTATATCCAAGGTCAGATCCGTCGAAATCTAATATTGGTTTTATATTATGAAGTGCGATCTACAAGTAATATAAAGTCTGTAAATTTCATATTACGAGCAGGACAGCCGCTGATTGATGAAATAGTTACCTTCTGGACTCGACGAATATCCCGCAAGAAGCCGCCGCCAGAGATCGGTACGTCGCCTCTTTGTAGAATGAACGACAGAACTTCAAAGGGACTCGCCTCGATGACCTAATAGGCAATATCCACGCAACGAAGAATATATCAGTGAAAGCAAAAGGAAGTAACCGTATTACAAAGAGATATAATCGGGATGTGATACAGTGTGCCTGTACGATATATATATATATATATATATATATATAAATAGATGTGAGTGTGTGTGTGTTTATGTGTGTGTGTGAGTGTGTGCGTGTGTGCCTCATATATATATATATATATATATTTGCAAGTATGTATGTATGTATGTATGTATGCATGTATGTATGTATGTATGTATGTATGTACGTCTGTATGTATGTATACATAC